CTCCTGCTTTTCTTCCTGCATCTCTGGTCGGGATGAAGCAGCTCGTGGCCGCAGGGCTGGTGGGCAGGACAATCCCCCTTTGTCCCAGCAGAGGGAAGGACAATGAAGCTCCTGTTGAGGATCAGGCACAGGGAGGCACCACCCCAGCGTGGGCAGGGGGACCCTGCAGACACAGACCTCATATCCTTCTGAGTAATGTCCAAAGGGGAAAAAAGCAAAGTTAAAGGGAAGACAAAGCTTTAAAGCACATGTTTTGGCAGAGAGGTGAGAGCAGAGGAGGTACCAAGGTCTCACCTGCTCTCTTCCAGTAGAAATAGCCCTGTAACCACCCAATCCAGAGTAGGAATATACATGAACAGGTTTGGAATTTAGCAAAATTAGTAGTGCTCTAGAAGGAGTCGAGTGTATCTCCCTTAACACAAGCAGGCAACACCTGAACTCTAAAGCACAATGTCCACAGCAGGGAGGCTGCACTCCAAAGATGGGAAGTCAACAATGATGGCTATAAATTTGACATGGTCTGGTAACAGAAAAAGCCTTGAAAATCAGAAAAAATAATGAAACCCCTCATCTGGGGATGAGATCCCTGAGATTTGGCAGTGGATTTCCCATGGCGGGGTAAGAGGTCGGCAGCCTGACAGCTGATGGCCCTGCTCCCCTCCCCTCTCTCTGTGTCCCCATGGCCCAGACATCTGCTGTCCCCGCCGAGCAGCTGCCCCCCTGTGCAGCCCTGCCTGCAGGACAGCAGCAGGAGATCCTTCCTTCCAGCTAAATCCAACAGAAATGGGCTGTCTGTCCTGTTGAGGGGAGAAGGGGTCTGCAAGGAAAAGCTCAAAAATGCTCTGGAGCAGCAGCAGTTTGTAATTATCCCTGTGAGAAAAAGCCTTAGGCTATGGGGATGAGATAGGATGGAGTCTGTTCCATCACTGTCTCTTGCCCAAACAAAGATAATTTTGCCCAGTAAGATTTAAAATTCAATATATTAGGCCCTCGGGAATTGTTATTTCCTAAACACTTCCATCTCCTCTCCTTTGTTTGCTCACTTTGCAGCTGGTTTTGGAGCATCCAACAGCTCCTGCTGAACCACATGGCCAGTTGTGCCAGCAGTGACCCCCTGAGCTCTCATTTGTGATGTGGGTACATCCAGCATCCCCTGGGGAAAAGTGTGGGTGCCCCAGCCTGGGTCAAAAGAGCCCTTGGACCTTCAGGCGTGAATAGCAGGCTCAGCTGAGAACAGCTTATTGCTCATTAGTGCTCTCAGGGCTGTGCTGTTCTCAAGGTCAGGGGTCAGATAAATCATTTGGACTATTGGAAGAAAATTCTATGTGTTAGGATGGAAATAAAATCTGCTGGGGGGAGTGGGTTGCCCTCCCTGCCCATCCCTGACCCTCCAGCACCGCTGGGTTTGAGGAAGCCACGGGGACTCAGCCAGTGACATGGAGGGTGATTTTGCTGAAGCCATTTCCTTACCTGGCAAGATAGCACAGGCTCAGGAAATGAGCAATTCCAGTCTCTCGTCCATACATTTACATATTCTCTTCACGTTTCCTAAATAAACTGGTCCGAGGCAGGAGGTGCCTTGTCTGGTCCCTGGCACAGCCCAGCGTTTGTACTGAAGCTGCTGCTGACATCTATGGTCAGCCTGGGGTACTGGTGTTTGAAAGTGGTGGAGCCGCCGGCTGGATTGGGTTGGAAAACATCTTTAAATTCCTCTCAATGCACCCCCTGCCGTGGGCAGGAACACTTTCCACTATCCCTGGGTGCTCTAAGCCCCATCAAATTTGGCCTTGGCAACCACAGCTGCTCTGGGCACCCTGTGCCAAGGCCTCCCCACCCTCACAGGGAGGAATTTCTCCCCAATATCCCATCTAACCCTGCCCTCTGGCAGTGGGAAGCCATTCCCCCCCCTTCCTGTCCCTCCAGGTCCTTGTCCCCAGTCCCTCTCCAGCTCTCCTGAAGCTCCTTTAGGCACTGGAAGGGGCTGTCGATGAGTTGTGGTGTTCATGTGGATTTAAACAAAATATCATTATTATAGAATAATCCCTTAAAATTACAAGAAATTACCTCAGAAGTGAAAACTACTCTGAAGATATAAAAGTAATACTGCCTGGATTTCCAGCTGATTGTTCCCCTTAGGAGGTTCTCTGGACCACACCTCTTGCCCTAAGACTGTGGAAATTCCCTTTCACAGGTAAAACCTGTTAGGTGCTGTAACATTACACCCAGTACAGTGGTACAGAAAATTTATCTGTAAATTAATTTTCAGCACGTGCATGACCTCTGTTTACCACATTAAATTTTACTATTAATTATATTGTTGGACTGAAGCACTTCTTGAGATTGATGGAAATCCTTCAGCACAGGTGTCAGCATAGGGGCAGCTCTCTTCAGCATTCTAAGGAGATTTTTATTGGAACAACAGTAGCTGGAAAAAAACCAAAAAAACACAACCAGGCAAGCTTTTGGATATGGAAACCTCTTACAAGTCTGGTCTTAGTTATAAATTTTATTTTGGGTTGTCTGAAGCTCCTGAGCTTTAGCATTCTCTCCCTTTCTGATTTTTTTTTCCTCATTTTCAGAAGAGCTGGGTGCTGTTGCTGTTTCCCTATAGACTCAAAGATTAGCAGCAGGGGCACAGCTGGAGCTAAATCAGCTCCAGCCCCAGGGAGGGTGGGTTGAAGGTCACCCTCCTGTATTCCCATTGGGGCAGGAAAGCAGCCAAGTAAACATCTTCTCCTGCATTTTGTTCCTATTGAAAACTCAGCTTTAAGACTGCAGGTCCTGTTGTAAATATTTGGATTTTATCTGTGCAGAGGGAGCATATTTATTTGTTTATTAGAAGCAAAAGCAGTTTAGTTGCTCCTCAATCCCCAGTCTTGCCCTTTCCTGAGGTTCCCAGCAGGGTGGGAGGTACCACAGAGGCCCATATTTGATCCCAGGCTCTTTCTGTGCACCTCACATCTCTCCACAGCCTGGTGTGTTCCAGCTCCACCAGATTTTATCTGCTTAATGATGTGTGAGAGCAATCCAGCACGGGAAGGACATGGAGCTGTTGGAGTGAGGCCAGAGGAGGCACCAAAACGTTCAGAGAATGGAGCAGCTCTGGTGGGGGAAAGGCTGGGAGAATTGGGATTGCTCAGCCTGGAGAAGAGAAGATTCAGGGTGACCTGAAGGAGGCAGCAAGAAACATGGAGACTATTTTTACCAGGGCCTGGAGTGCCAGGACAAGGGGGAATGGTTTCCCACTGCCAGAGGGCAGGGTTAGATGGGATATTGGGAAGGAATTTTTCACTGTGAGGGTGGTGAGGCTCTAGCACAGATTTTCCAGAGAAGCTGCCCCATCCCTGGAAGTATCCAAAGCCAGGGCTTGGAGCAACCTGGGCTAGTGGAAGGTGTCTCTGCCCATGGCAGGGGATGAGCTTTGAGGTCCCTTCCAACGCAAACCCTTCTGGGATCTGTGATTCAGGTCTCCATGAGCATTGCTCTGTGGGGACCCAGAACATCCCTCTGGCTGTCCAGGATGGCCCAGACCCCTGCCAGGGGGCTCAGAAGCCCTGGCACAGAGCCCAAAACACCTGTGGTTTTGATTATGACCCATGGAGCAAATTACCAACCTTATATGAAGATCAGCAAGCCACAACAGTTTAGGTAGAATAATAGTGAAGTTATCAAGGGGTGAAAAGGTAGATTTTGGGGTTTCTGGAACGGGGGCTTGGGAGGCAAGATGGAGGGATCTGGGCATGTCCTGCCTTTCTCCTTCTTCTTCTTGGCCTCCATCTTCTGCTGTGATGGTGGCACTTTTGGATTGGTTTAGAGTAGAAACTCACTGTCTAACATAGGTGATGGGTATTGGGAAGTTATGGTCAATATTATACACAGAGTTTTTAGTATAAAGACATAACACCACCCTGGGGGCAGGCAGAGTGCCTGGACTGTCTTGCTGAGCTGACCTCAGCAGGACAGGAGAAAGAATTTTATAGACAAAATACAATAAACAACCTTGAGACCAAGAAATGAAGAGCTCTGACTCCTTCAAGTGCTGGGCTGGGAAAAGAGACTTTCCAACTTTTCTCAGGGCCACTCTGCTAAGCTGAAGATCCCAACATTGCTCCTTGATGAGCAGCTCCTCATCCTTCCCCCTTCCCAGCTGGCAGCTGCACAGCCCTGATGGAGCCCTGATCATGGAGAGCAGCTGAGGGCATGCAGGTGATGAGATCTGATCAGAGCCCCCAGGTGTTTGCTGCCTCCCAGGCATTTTTAGAGGAGAAATGGAACTGAGGATACACTGGTTTGGCAGGTCAAAGGGACAGGAAAGAGCTGCCACTAATGGCACCCATCACTGTGATGATGTTTTGTGTGGTGTTAGGGCAAAGAAGTCTGGCTTGTTCAGATATTCCCCCTTAATTTACATAATCTTAAAAAAATTCTATTAAGAAGCAATCAATTGCTGCTTCTCATTCAAACTTGAATTGCTTTTCTGTAACCACTCTCCTTTTTATCAGTAGACTTTTACGAAGAGGTTTTTACAGCATTCATGGCTTTCCCCAGCAGGCTGACCTACAAGAGCTGCCACTAAACTCTCCTGGTGTGCTAAATTAAAATTTTAATCTCCTCCTAACTTCCCTTTTCATTTGCTCAACAATATCATGTTAATTTCAGGGAGCTGCTGAGGAGGAGCAGAAGCAGAACTCCTGACATCAGGACCTATTATAAGGCCCCACTTGCTTTTTTCCTATGAATTACCCCAAAAGTTATGTGGCAATGTTAAAACACCCACAATAACAAGATTTATTTAGTTTTAGCCATTTATTGCTGCCCCAGCTTTCAGAGTTCTGATTCTTTAGAACAACCAGTTTGTTTTAATTAAACTTCACTTCTAATCAGAGCAAGTTTCAGCTGCCGACCCACCTCTCCAGTGTCTTTCCAAATCCAGTTTCTCATCTTTGAAAAAGGAAATCTTCATTAACAGCTTTTACTACAGTAAAGACACAACACAGGTGTGTGCTCAGATGGTTTCAGTTTATTAAAAACAAGGATCTGCTTTGCAGTAATGGAACAACCATGATCGTGCAAGTCTTGCACAAACACAAGGCAGGCAGAAGATGAAAGACAAAAGCTGCCCACCATGCAGGAGGAACTCAAGCAAACCAAGATAAAAATTAAACCAGTGGTTTACAATGAACATTAAGTGCCAAACAGTAAAAATTAATTAATTTCTCCAGTGTTCGTGCCATCTCTCAGACTTTCAGTCTTGTACAAAAGCTGAAAGGAAGCCATAAAAAACTATAAAGAGCTATGCAAATGTACAAAACCCAGCTCAAGTAGGAGGAACATTTTAACATGAAAATGGAGGTCAGATCACATCTACTCTTCCTCCAAGCACTCTCCCTCTTCGGCAGGATCCAGTGGCAGGGGCCGAGCTCTGTAAGGAGCATTATTTCAGAAGCATTAGCAGAAACCAGCTCTGGTTTGAAAGGCTAACAAAGCCCTTTTCCCAAAGCCCAAATGACTTAGTTAGCCTCAGACAGCACCTTGAGACATCAGGACTGACAGGGGCTCCTTTATCCTGTGCTCTCTTCCCACCACCTTGTTCTTGTTCAGCCCAACAAACTCCAAATTAAAGTGTTGAAAGTTTTCCTGTGCTACAGCAAACGTATTCTGTTTCACCAACAGGTGGGATGCCCTTAAAAGCCTTTGTCTGCTTGTCCTGCAGGACAATTTGGGGTTGATTCTTATGGGCTCCCCCTAGCAGTTTGGAAATACCTATATTTGGTGGAAAAATGGAGGTTCAACCCAGAATTCCCTATAGAAAACAGAGTGTCTGTAAGACAATATTTTATACTGCTGCCTTTTTAGTCAGTAGTGCAGCCTACAGTTAATCTCTGAGGCTCCAGCTTGGAAAAGCCATTCAATTCCTGGCACGTGGAAGTTGTTAGTGCTCTCCTAAGCTTTTCCAAAACTTCACTGTGCTGGCAAAGTTATGTCTGAGCAGTAAGAATTTGCCTCAACTACCAGTTACTCCACCCACTTTCAGGAACCTCCACGAGGTCCCTGAAAACTTTGCCAGACTTTGCTGAGAAACAACACTTCCATGAGGACACAGAGGTCAGGGACACACTGTCAACTTGCCCCTTCAAAAATGGAGTTTCACAGAGAAAAAATAATCACAGCTTGCTTCCCTGTGGGGGTCCCAGTTGTTGGTTTCTCTGGGTCTGGATTGAAGGCACTTGAGAGGGTAGTTCATGTTTGGACTCAGGTGTTTGTAATTTCTTATCAGTAAAACAGTCTCATTGCTGTAAGCTGGGCAGCTTTTCATTAGAAGGCACAAAATGGCCAACAATCTCATTTTACAAGGTCTTTTAAGACTAAACTATCCAATTAAGAACTGACCTAGATTATTTTCCCTTTTAACCCAATAACGATCCCAAAGAGCCCCCAATGCAGACTTTTCTGCCCAATTACAAAATGCGACCCAAACCCATGAAGAAGAAACATGAAGAAGAAACCCAGGACAACACCCTGTGCCCTCCATCTTGCTTCCATCCACAACACACTAAAAATCCCAAAACCTCAATTTCTCACCAAGTGACATATCTACACTACCCTCTATAATCTGTTTCACACTTTTGTGGATTCCAGTCTATCTTGAAGTATAGGAAACTATCTCCATGAATTAGAGTCAAAGTCAGTGCTCCCTGGGGGTCAGGGCACCCCAGAGCAGACAGAGAAACATTCCCTGGGTTTCCACACCCCCCCTTGCCCCAATACCCACTCCAGGCCGCTGGTCCCGGGTGTGTCTCCGTCGGATGCCCGGCTCTCCTTGGATGGGAGCTGCAGGAAGTCGCTGATTCCCCTTTGCCAGGCGGGCACCGGCCTCACACAGACCCGGTTCAGCCCCACGGGGCGCCGTTGACCTGCAGGGAGCGCTGGGTCAGCCTGGGCAGGGAGCAAGGACAGAGGGAGGGAGGGGCAAAGAGAGGGAGGAAATGAGGGAGGGAGGAAGGAAGGAGAAGGGAAGAAAAGAAGAAAGAACGTAGTATGAAAAATGAGTATTTTATGATTGGCTTTTTGCAAATATTAAAATGAATATTATGTGTGTTATGTTAGAAACTTATGCTGTGTTAATTTTCTTAAGTAGCGTGTTAAATATAGTTTTAGGTTATAACATAATGTTACAATAGAAACTATGCTATGTAAGATACTTTTTTTAAGCAAGGACTTGCATCGAGATAGCAGCCAAAGGACACCTAAATCTTTCAGAGAAAAATAATTTATTGCTCTGTTATCGAGTTCCTGCCGCCTCGCTCAGCCTGAAGATGCAGTCAGGATTCAGAGGAAGAAGCTGACACTGACCAGACAGAATCCTTTGTTTGAATAGAATTTATGCATCATGTATGAGATGTATGAATATGCAACAGGCTATTGCTTTTAAGGGTTAATCCTCTGTTAACGTGGGTCCTTTTTCGGGCTTATTTCGCCCAGGAAAAGGTACCCGGACCGTCTGTAACTCTGCTCTTATTGTCTTGTATTGTCCTAAAGTGTAATTGTCCAAATTTTTATTACTCTAATCATATTACTATTTTCACAACCATTTTATTACTATTAAACTTTTAAAATTTTAAAAACAAGTGATTGGCGTTTTTCATAGTAGCGAGACAGAGAGGGAAAGAAGGAAGGAAGGAAAGAAAGGAAAAAGCGACGGAGGGAAGGGAGGGAGGAGAAGGGGCCGCGCTCACCTCTCCGGCCGGGCAGCGCCGGCCCCGCGCTGACGCTGCTGCTGCTGCCGCCGCCGGAGCCCAGCGCCTTGCGGGGAGCGCGGGCGACCAGCACTGCGGAGAAAGGGACAGCGGGGCTCAGCAGCGGCGCTCGGAACCCCCTCAGCCCTGCCCGTCCCGTTCTGCTCGGAACCCCCATGAGCCGAGCCCTGCCCTGCCCGTCTCGCTCGGAATCCCCCTCAGCCCTGCCCTGCCCGTCTCGCTCGGAATCCCCCTCAGCCCTGCCCTGCCCGTTCCCTTCCCGCTCGGAACCCCCTCAGCTCTGCCCGTTCCCTTCCCGCTCGGAACCCCCTCAGCCCTGCCCGTCCCGTTCCCTTCCCACCCCCTCAGCCCTGCCCGTCCCGTTCCCTTCCCGCCCCCTCAGCCCTGCCCATCCCGTTCTCTTCCCGCTTGGGACCCCCCTCAGCCCTACCCGTCCCGTTCCCTTCCTGCCCCCTCAGCCTGTCCCGTTCTCGCACCCTTGCGGAAGGCACGACCACGCTGATCCACCTTGGTCCGCGCCATCCCGGCCCGGCACTGCCCGGCCCGGCCCCGCCTCGGCAGCGCCATTGGCCACAGCCCGCCAATGGAGCGCGGGGCCGCCCCCGTCCCGCTCCCCTTCCCGCTCTCCTCTGCCCGGGCGGGATATTGGGGAGAAATTCCCTGCGGGGGGAGCGACGTGCTGGAACGGGCTGCACAGAGTGTGGCTGCCCCAGCTCTGGCAGTGTTTAAAGCCGCGCTGAACGGGGCTTGGAATAACGTGGTCTAGCGGGAGGTGTCGCTGCCCATGGCGCGGGGTTGGAATGGAATGGAATGGGATGGAATGGAATGGGATAAGATGGGGATTTACGGTCCCGTCCAACCCAAACCATTCCCAGTTTGAATGAACCGGTCCCGGAACGGTCACTCTGCAGCCGCGTTCCCGGGGGGAAGGGAAAGGAAGGGGAGGGTGCCGGGCGGTGCGGCGGCATTTCCCGTCCCCCCCGGAAGATGGCGGCGCCCAGCGCGCTCCTGGCCTGGTGCGTCCAACACCTGCGCGGGGACTTCGGGCTGGACGTGGGCGAGGACGTGGTGAGGTGAGCGGGGCCGGGGCCGGGCGGGGCCCTCCTGCCCTCTGGCAGGGGTTCCTCGGAGGAAACACGGTGTGTCAGAGCAGCTGTCGGGAGTTTACCCGGGGTGGTCGCTCGGGTGGAGATTCAGGGAGGAGAAGTGGCGGGAGGTGGGATGTGGGGTGACAGAATCACAGATTGCTCTTAGTTGGGAGGGATCTTAAAGGTGATATCGTTCCACCTCCTGCCATGGCCTTACCGCGGTCTCCACAGAAACCTGATGGTAAAGGAAAGATAAATGTCACACCTGTGCCATGAGAGCGCGGACCATCCTCCCCCTCACCCATTTTTATCCACCCCGGCCCGCTCTAGGTACATCTTGTCCATCACGAACGAGGAGGAGATCCGGGAGTACGTTGTTGACCTTGTTCAGGGCACGGATGGGAAGAAGAGCTGGTTTGTGGAAGAGCTGCTGAGCAGGTGGAGGAAATCTGCCCAGCTGCCCTCCGAGCCCTTCCCAGCCTACCGGAAAAAGGACGGTGAGTGCTGCAGAGCAGGAAACTCCCAAATAAACTCGCTTGTTGTGCTTACAAACAATTCCATGCCACAAATCTCTGTATGGATACCAACCCATCCCTGACTGGAGGCAGTTTAAAGCCTGTTTTTGTGGTAGCAGGCCCCCAGCCAGGTAATAATTAGCATTGACTCCATGATCCAGAAGGCATGAAAGACACTTTATTATTAGAAATCTACAGTTCTTCTAGAAACAATGGTGGACCTGATTGGTCTCAGAGTGAAAACCTCTCACACATTTATTGGTGGCTATCAATAACACTCTCTAGAGAACCATATCCATAAACAGTAGTTATAGAAAGAGAGATAATAATGGTTTGAATTCTTTTCCTCTAAGTTTCCCACAGCTTCTACACAGCTTCCCAGGATTTTTCTGGGAAAGTCTGTGGCCAGAGAGCTGCTGCTGCTCGTTTTCAGTCATGAAGTAGAGTCCAGAGACATTTTTCTTTTGCTGGTACTTACCCAACCTCTCTCTTGATTTGTTTATTAGAGGCAAAAGCAGTTTAGTTGCTCCTCAATCCCCAGTCTTGCCCTTTCCTGAGGTTCCCAGCAGGGTGGGAGGTACCACAGAGGCCCATATTTGATCCCAGGCTCTTTCTGTGCACCTCACATCTCTCCACAGCCTGGTGTGTTCCAGCTCCATCAGATTTTATCTGCTTAATGATGTATGAGAGCAATCCAGCACGGGAAGGACATGGAGCTGTTGGAGTGAGGCCAGAGGAGGCACCAAAACATTCAGAGAATGGAGCAGCTCTGGTGGGAGGAAAGGCTGGGAGAATTGGGATTGCTCAGCCTGGAGAAGAGAAGATTCAGGGTGATCTAAGTGTTGCTCCTCAATGCCTCTGTCTGTGCTTGCTCCCACTCCAGAGGTTCTGGACGTGCTGCGGGCTGGGGACCAAGGGAAGAAGGGGAAGCGCAAAGGGAGGAACAGGCAGGAGACCCCGGCACACCCCGAGCCCACTGCTCATGGGGAGGAGGTGAAAACCCCCCTGGACCTGGCCAAGGTGAGTGTGGGGGCCAGGGGGTCACTGGAAAGGTTTGGGGAATGAGGGTGTCAGACACTGGTGAAGATGTGATTGGAAGGTGGAAATGAGAGTCTGGGATGTGTCAGACTGGGATGCCCAGGTGGGCACTGCTCAGGACACACCTCAGATCCTGGTGTCAGTTTTGGGCTCCTCACAAGAAAGGCAGTGAGAGGCTGGAGCATGTCCAGGGAAGGGAACAGCGCTGGGGAAGGGTCTGGAGCACCAGGAGCAGCTGAGAGAACTGGGAAAGGGGCTCAGCCTGGAGAAAAGGAGGCTCAGGAGGGACCTTCTGGCTCTGCACAACTCCTGACAGGAGAGTTGAGCTGGGTGGGGGTTGGCATCTGCTCCCAGAGAACAGGGACAGGATGAGAGGAAATGGCCTCAAGCTGTGCCAGGAGATGTTTAGGTTGGATATTAGGGAAAAAAAATCATGGAAACTGTGGTCAGATACTGGAATGGACTGTCTAGGACAGTGGTGGAGTCACCATCCCTGGAGGGTTCAAAAAACATGTGGATGTGGCACTTGGGGAGGGACAGAGGACGGAGAGAAGGGAAAGAGGAAGAGGGAAAAGGAGGGAGAGGGAGAGAGAGGAAAGGAAGGAGAGTTATTGATGTGTCTCTGTGATCTTGGAGGGCTTTTCCAACCTAACTATTTCCATGTTTCTATGATGTCCAGGATGGGGAGAAAGGCTGTGTCTGTTTGTGTCTATAACTGGGAGTAAAATAATCATCAGATAGCAAATATGCCAGCATGGATTTTTCTCCCCTAGAAAACCTGAGAAGAGAGAGCAGGTGAAGGAAGTTGAGTCTGTAATTAGGAATAAAAGGGATTTCTTTAAATCAGATGTGAGGGTGGGGAATTGAAGCCACCAAATAGTTAGAACATCCTTTCCTACTGTATTTAAACTATCTCAGTCACACTGATTGAAGCTTTAATTAGAAACTGAAATACTTCAGAAAGAAACTGTGGGATAAGAGCATAGAAACACCAAAACCTGAGAAATGCTGCAATTCCTGAGTAAGGAGTGGAACATGAATTCATGTTTTTAAATGGAACTTTTTGGAGCAGGGAGGCTGCAAAGGATGAAAGTATTTGTAAAAGTGTTTATAGGATAAACCACAACATTTTTGAGCTGGTGGGTTAAAAGTGGACAGTGATTTCCATTTCCTTGTAGTTACCTTCTAACTTAATTAAAATTAAAAACAAAAAGTGAGAAAGATCTGCCAAAGTCACTTTATCTTGTTTTGGGGTTTTTTTTATGGTGGCAGTGTTTGAATCTGGCAGTGGCACTAAAAGCAGTTGGACTTTACTGGGGGGACTGGAAATGCTGCATCTGCTTGTCACTAAACCAGACTGAAACTCAGAGGTGAATCATGAAATCACTGAGGCCAGATCACAGAAGGAGGAGCAGAATTTATTTTACAGCTCAGTACTTGAACTCTCCTGTGTGGAAAACCTCTGCTGATGTGGCTGTGCCAGGTGGGATTTGGGGAGGCTGCTGGGAGGTGACATGGCTGTGAATGCCCTGCTGCCAGCCCCAGCTGTGTCTGGGGACAGGCAAGCCCAGGGTGCACAGCTACAAACAGGGAGTCTGAATAACCCTTGGAAGTGAGCTTGGGAGTGATGCCTTGTGCAGGCTGACCCAGAACAGAGACTAGACAGAACTAAAGAATAAAGTAGGGATTTACTAGGAGGCCTCAATGGATGCACCTTGGGCAGCACAACCCAAAATGGCCACAAAATGGACCGCAGGTTATGGGGTCTCACACTTTTGTAAGTTTTGGTCCCTTAGCATATTGGAGCTAATTGTCCAATTACAGCTCCAGCCCATGCAGTCCCTTCATTTTTGTTTTCTCTCTTCAGCCCACATTGTTTGTGCTCTTGGGGCTGAGATCTGGATCAGCTGTCCTTGGGACCCCAGCTAGAGCAGGGATTGTTGTGTCTCCCTACTCTGTGCAGAGAGCTTACTATCTCCTAATATGAAGCCCACACTAAAGCAGAACAGAATCTGAAAAATAGAAAAGCCAAACCCTGAGGCATCAGGAGTAGCTGAGCTGCTGTTTGGAGCTGTTAAACAGGCGTGAGGCTGTGCAGAGCACAGAGAGCAGCGCTTGCTGCCCAAATCCCACCAGCTCCAGCTGGCATGGGTGGCAAACTTCGAGTGCATCCTGGTGTCCTTGCTTTGTTTGGATTCCTTGGAGCTTTTCTGGCAGGCCTGAGCTTGTCTTTCCGCTCAGTCTGGGGTCTGGTCCAAGTTTCATTCCAGTGAGGCAGAGTAACACTTGTCTGAACCTCCTGGCCTGCCCAGAGGTCAGTGCTGGCTCTGCTGCCAGTGCTGCACTGGGAGCACAGTTTGTTTGTTTGTTTGTTTATCTTTTTCCTTCCCAGGCCCAGGAAAGCAGCAGTGGGGTCAGCAGCAGTAGCATTTCCTGCAAGAAGAAGCCCAAGTATGTCAGCCTGTACACCAGAGAGGGGCAGGACAGGCTGGCCGTGCTCATCCCGGGCCGCCACGCCTGCGAGTGCCTGGGCCAGAAGCACAAGCTCATCAACAACTGCCTGGAGTGCGGGCGCATTGTCTGTGAGCAGGAGGGCTCTGGGCCCTGCCTCTTCTGTGGGGCCCTGGTGAGTAACCAGGGAGTTACTGCAGGGGGCTGGTGAGGGGCTTGGAGCACAAGCCCTGGGAGGAACAACTGAGGGAGCTGGGGGTGCTCAGCCTGGAGAAAAGGAGATTCAGGAGTGACCTTATCACTCTACAACTCCCTGAAAGGTGCCTGTGCTCAGCTGGGGCTGGGCTCTTTCTCCAGGCAGCACTGACAGAACCAGAGCACACAGCCTCGAGCTGCGCCAAGGGAAATACCGGTTGGATATTAGGAAAAA